GGGCAAGGGGTTGGGGGGTATGAAAATCAGTGAAAATCGTGAAATAGGAGGAAGAAAGGAAGAGCATTCGTTTTAAGGCGAAAAAGATACTAAAATTGCATGGTATTTTCTTCTACCCCTTCCTTTTCCTTCTCTTCATCCCCTTCCTAAGGTGTGAGAGCCGTGTTGAAAGATGAAAGGCTTGCTTTGTGCCAGTTCTGAACGGCCTCCGGAAGTAATGTGCACGGTATTTCCTAGCCTTGCCCTTACCCTTATGGGAACCCAGGGTAGACAGTTTCGTTACCCCAGTTATTTCAGCTTACTATGGCTGATTTTATTTTATTATTATTATTATTTTTTTTTTTTTTTTTTTTTTTTTTTTTTTTTTTTTTTTTTTTTTTTTTTTTTTTTTTTTTTTTTTTTACTCGTGCCCCTTCATCAACTAGCCTATATAAATTTGGTTTCTCTGCTTTCCCGACCTCTGCCTATCCTTTAACCACGGCTCCGATCACAGATTCTAATACCTCTTCGGCGTTTGCTGCCAACTTTATCCATTCTTTATCTATCATCTGCCCGTGCCCCCCCCCCCCAACCGTTGCTCGTTGTTGGGAGAGGGAGGGCGTAGTAGACCCGTAAGGAAGAGATATTGGAGAGAATGTAAAATCTGAGGAGGAAGGGGAAAGTGTGGCGCAAAGGACACCACTGGAGTAGGGAGTAAGCGGAAAAATAACGACATGCTTCCTATCTGGCCTTGCATAAAGTGAGGCCAAGTTTGAATCTGAGAATTGTCACCTCAAACTAAAACTTGTAGGTAGGGCAGACCCTGTTAAATACATTATGGGAGCTGCTACAATTGGCACACGTATATGATGCTTAGCAATTTGAACGATCGTGACCAGGTTGGGCATGTACAGGGCATCGGGCTGTAAAGTGTTTAGTATGGTGGCCAAGACGCCAACATTTTTTTTACATTGATAGGGGGATGCTAAATTGATATGGTCAGACAGAGAGACTTTGCCATTTCATGGTAGGGGGGGAGGCTCATGTCTACGGATAGTAAGCATGGCAATATTGGTTTGAAAATAAATGTGCTAGACAAAGTATTACGTCGGAAAGGGCAAAGGAGAGTTAAGGATTACGATAAAATGTGTTAGATGTAAAAGGGATAGTATGGTAGTGAAAAGGAAAAGAAAGAGAGCAAGTGAACTAGAGCAAAAATTAGTAGAAAGGGGAGGGTTAAGAGTTAGGGCGATTATGTGAATTGTAGTGTATCTGTCACTCGGGAAGATACAGGAAAATGTTCAAGGAAGAATAATTATAGCTGTTGAAAAGCAAGAGGAGAATCCGGGGAGAGGGGAAGGTGTTAGATGTCAAATTCTAGAGGGTGTTATAGGAAAGTATGGTAACGAAAAGGGAAATGAAGGAAGTAGATGAAGTAGAGCAGGGATTATTAAAATATGAAAGGTTAAGGAGGTAGAGCAATTAAGTGAATTGCATTGCATCTCTGGGTGGAGAAGGAATAGGGATAATAGACACTGATAACGGTAGATATGGTTGTCTTAGTAGCTGAGGATTAGGCATCTGAAGGTTGAGATAAAGGATCAGGAGTAGGTAGAGTAGTGGCTGGGGGTTCGATAGGAAAGGTGGGGTCCTGGAGACAGGATATCTGCTGAATCAACAGAGATTCACGTGAGTTGTATCAAG